ATATAAGACCTAGTCCAAACTGCAATGCACCCTGGGTGAGAACAACTTTTGCGAAAGTAAGGATATGTGAGATTCACTGGAAACTGCGGGAACTTTGGAAAAATTCAACTGCTAGTTCCTTATCACGAAATAGGGTGGATACGTATCACAATTGACTTACTATTAGCCTCGAAATTCTGTTTATAAACGAAAAATATTCTCAACTAGGTATTTTTTTTAACTTCCTTAAATTTTTCTTATTTTCAATTCTCCTCTAAATCTCACGTAGGAGGCAATATTGCAATTCCTCCCTCCTATTACCAAAATCGATGTGAATCGATGTGCATGACCAACCAAAAAGGATAGGGGTACATTCTTTTATGGGAGAGGACACTCCATGATTTAATTCTACACATCAAAAAGTAATTGGGTGAAATCTTCCTGTGGGAGTTGGAAAGACCTCATTGATACTAAAAAATCTCAGCTCCTTTTAGTCTGAGATACGCTGTATTGGTTTATTTTGGACTTAGCTCAAGGAAATATTATAAATTCGAAGAATAACTGGTGGTAAAAAGTTGAGTAAGAGCTATTTATTCTCGATTGAAAGATTTAATGAGAGAGACGGCATTGAGCTGCCACCAAAAAGGAGGCGACTCAACTTGTCAGCTCAGTTATGGTTCTAACGTCACTCACACTCTAAGGCTCAACCTATTTTCATCAAAAACGAGGGAGTATATCTTGTGGATTGTGTCGACCTGAACGTTATATTAAAGCCAAAGGGCTGCAGTACAACGAGAATCAGCCGTCATCTTCTGATGAGATCGGCTTCTGAGTTTCTTCTCCATGCTCTTTCATACAAAATGAAAGCCTACTCAACGAAGAATTATTATCAGGATGAAATTTTTAAAACCAAGCTTAATTTCCAAATATGTTTAGTTAAAATCATAACATATAATTCTGATTTCATAAGGCGTTATTTTTTAAATAACCATTTAAATTTTTGGTTACAGTTCCCATAGAGCATCTAGCACCTCTCAGCCTCCTTTTTGAGACTTGCTTCTTTTATTTTTTTGGCCTTCTATAGCCGTTTTGATATCTTCGGCTACTGTAAAATTGAAGCAATTTTTGCAGACCTTCTCAGTACCTTTGAAATGAACTTATATTTTGTATTTATCATTATCACTATAGATTTGTCTATTTTGGATATTTGACTTTTATTCCTCAAAGTATGGTAGCAAAATAGGGTGCTGAAATTAATTAAATTCTGCTTTTAATTTAGCAAGAAAGGATCTATACTCTTTTCCAAAAGAGGCACACATTTTGATATTAACTAAGTATCTTTCACTCCGCATGTACCTAGTTTATTCTGATCTCTATTATCTCATTAATACAATAAAGATTCGCGCTACACCGCTATACTCGAACATAATGGTCTTCTGCTGAATTCCATGCAGCCTTTAGTTCAAGCTAACCTGGTTATTTCACAAAATGAAGCCACTCTAGAGGCCTCCACTTGGGCATCATCCAAAAGCTCTGATTCTGGGCTTGCCTCTACGTTTGCTGTAGACTCTCTGATGGCGCCAATGTTGACTTCTCCATCACCACTGTATAGTCAAGCTTCTTCATCTTCCTTCACTCTTACCACCTCTACTTACGATTTAAGTCTAGGACCCACATCTACACTATCATATCTATCTTCGCCATCGTCATTAATGCAGACATCTAAAAAGTCTTCTGGAATGGGCGCTGGCGGAACATTGGCAGCGTTTGTTGTCGACTCGGGGGGTCTTCCAGCTTCATTGGCTGAAGAGACTCGAGTGCCATTTGACTTTGAACTGCCAGCCATTGTGCGACAGCGGCGTGATAGCCAGCATCGACTCAATGAACAAGCCTGTTGGGCCACAGACCTAAAGCGTTTGGCAGAAGATCAGGTGAATGATTCTAATTGAACTTAAAAAGACACAAGGCAGCCAAACATCTTTTAAAGCTTTATCTAGTCCATTTACATTTTAGGAGACTAAATATTAGGAACCACTGCTACTTTGTGTATTATTGCGCCTAGCCTACACAATTATAAAGGATTTTTGTATAAAATTGCCAAAATTTATATTGTTTTTCCATTTTTCATTGCTTCTGATTTCAAGAAAAGCATGCTATTTAAATTATAATGGAAACTAGAATAAATAATAGCCCCAATTAAATATCGTCATTGTTTTATTATATATATATATATATATCAAAATTTTGTCGAAATTGAATTAGACACAGTTAATGCTTTCTACCGTAAGAAGATTGCATTTACCTTCAAGATGCCTGCTATTCCTAAACATCTTTTACTTCTATCTTTAATAGAAGCTTCATACAAGCCTAAATATTACATCACGGAAGTGCATATTATTGACGTAAGAATTCTTTGCCTCTACATTAATTTTGTTTTTAATCTTATATTTCTTGCTCATACATATTTATTCCCCAGCATAATATGTAAAATTGTGTTACTTTGAGGAGAGGCTCATGAGCACACCACCCATCATTACATTTTCGATATTTTTATGATTTCTTCTATTTCTTTATTTAACAGTTGTTTTGTCTCCTTAAAGAATAATCACACTGATTAGTTTTCTTGATTTCGGCAACGTTTTTTTGCAGATCAAACCGAGGCTGGTGTATACTCTTGCGGATAATCGATCATACATTATTTATAAAAACGAATATAACTCAAAGTATTTATTTTCAACTTAATTTCTATATCACCATTCCTCTCTTCACCCATATCTCTAGTCCCATCTGACCATTTACGGCTTTCGGCTATCTGTTAAACGCCTAGCCTGCATCACTCGTCTTCTTACTGGAGGTCTACTGCTCTCATTTCCACTGGTCTTCGTTGCTGGCCTCATGCCCCAGTTAAACACTTTTCTCACCTATCTGCTTGAGCAGCTTGACATACATGTCTTCGGTGGAAGTGGTCAGTTTGGTTCAAGTTTATGCCTATGATTATGTTTTCATGAAAGACATTTGCCTGACGAATCCCTTGGTAGATCAGTGTTGAATTGACTTTAATTTAGCTATAAAATGTATGCTGACTAGTTCCTTAGGTGGATCTCACTAAGAGAAGAGGGCAGTTTCTCCTTGTTCTGTTTTTCTTGTTTTCCTGTAACATTCTGTCTAACGCAATCCTATGCATATCTTTCTTCGTTTCTAGTACAAGCACGCTAAGCATTTATCTGCCATATAATATATAACATGCAGTCTTGGATGCCTTATTAGAACCTCAATTTCCTATCATCAATTGGCAACTCGTCAGATACAGATCTTCTGCAAGGCATACTAGCGATGCCGACTCGGATCCCGGCTAAAAGTTCGGAATTTACTAATTCCAACCTCCGACGCTAGAAATTATCAACTTTTATCGCTACTTGCCAAGCCATTTCTGATCACTAGTCACAATGGCATCTATGCATATTTTTTAGTTCTGTCACTGACAACTTTATTGGATAGATCCCCTTTCGCCAAATTATGAATGGACACAAATATTCTTGTGTTGACGGCTGCGATCAGAGATTGGAAATGACTGCACAACTGGTGTAAGAAGGGCCTGATATAGAATCCTCAAGGCTAAGGATCTACAAAAAAACGGTGTAACCTTTGGTAGGATCACAGTATTTTTTCGATGTATAGAAGTGGGCTGACCTCATTTTCGCAACTCAGTCGTGTTGTCAGGATAACTTAGTTGGATGCACCTTGTCTGAAGTCCTCTACTATAGGAGCTAATATAATTCCCAGCATAGGGCCGTTGACTTGGTACATTCCTAGACATTTCGTCGATGTAGTAATCGGCATCGTCAGTGCGTCTTGCCATTCTCATCACGCGTCAGGTGCAAGTGAAGTCAATCCCTTGACCAACTTTATACTGAAACGGTTGTAATATCATTCCTCTTTCTGTACTGGCTCATCTCTCTGCTCCATACCCTCTTACTCCCCCTGCCCCATCACAGTTGAATTGTTTGTGTTCGACTCATCTAAAGATGTGCCATTTTTTGACAAGTTTAGTGTGGCATCATCACATCTGCTGTTTACATTGTCCTATCTGATCCTACTCGGACCTCATATCCGAATCTCCCTTATAGGCCTTT